TGTTTATACTGTAAAAAAATATGTAAGGAGGAAGCGACAAAAATGTGAATTTGTTTTTGAGCACACTTAACCACGTGAAATGTTTTGTAAATATTCATAAAATTTGATACATTGCACTGCAGAAATTAAAGATGTGACTATTAAGAGTGTCGTAAATCCTGTTTATTCAACCCCCTAATCTGATCGCTCCGCCTCCGACACAGAGATCCCCTTCTTCGCAGCATGGCGCCAGCAGCGCGAATCCTCAACTCCCCCCTCATTTACACGAATATCGATTTTGAATTATCCTCATGCCTAGGTCTCGATGTTAGCGCCTGTATAACTCACACATCTGTAGTATAAATACACTCGCAAACCCCACACACGACACAACGACACCAACGTGGTTGACCTCAGAAGTAAACGACTGTGTCCCGTCCGCTCCGGTCTTTTTCTTCATCGCGGGTATCAGCCAAGCGTAATCGGGCCAGAGTTAATTCCGTGGCCCCGGCGTGGTTCAAGACCACATGCTGGGGCCTACAACAAGAAAAAAAAAGAAAACTAGTCATAATTATGTCAAAACTTGCTTGCTGTGTAGTCACTACACGCTTAAGGTAGGCAGTCCTTAGGTTTATTTTTTAATTAAAACGTCAAACAAACTTGAGGCTTTTTAAGACATGGGCACGAGTACTTGTGTAAAGATTACTTGCAAATTGATCAGTGTGCAGAATTTGCAGAAACGGATTGCCAAAAGGTAGATCGGAATATGCTCAAAAGTGAATGCTAGCTGCCTGAATCAACAAAGTTTCACTGTAGGTGGGGCAAAAAATACTGTTTTGCCACTTCACGACTACCGACGAGGCGAAATACGTCTTTTGATCTGTCTACTCCGTCCTTTGAGTTAGGGGTGCCGTAATGTTTGTCGGTACTTAGTTTACTCGCTAAAAACACACCAAGCATTACAAATTCAGTGTGGGCTGCTACTCAAATTGACTCGCCATTTCTAACTGATAAAATTGCTCAATAGGTTAAAGAATTCCGTTGTGTGAAAGGTCTACCCCACAAGCAAGTAATGCTTTTTTAATGTAGACAAATCTCTTGTTTAAACTGGCGTGGGTTTTGCATATTCATTTTTTGCCAGAAAATTGTCTATTAATTTGCATCAATTTACTAAATCAGGCTATTAAAATATAATTATTAGGCCCTTAAAATTATTGAATATATATACTTTTTTACATTTTACAGGGGATCAACAAAAAATGCCAGGGGCAGTAGATCCAACGTTAATTCCACGTTAGTGTAATGCCTGGACATTGGTACTAAACATGAAATTATCTTGCCTGACGGCAACGTTCAGAAGTTGACAGGTGATTTGATCGGTTTAAGACAAAAGTAAGTCATATTAACCAACAGCTACAAATGGCTTTGATCTTCACAGTAGATGCAGCCATTAATCTTGAGGTGATGTTTGCATTAAAAATCCTCACAATTGCCTGGGGTACGAAACCGCGAATATGATTGCTGTTTTTGTGACAATAAACTTAATGCTAAAGTGACTTTCAGACCAATGTCATTCATTGTTCCTTCATTTCCGTGCTTTTTCAAAAAAATATATTCTCTCTGAATTGGTCCTGCAAAATCATTCAGTTTTCTCCCGTCTCTAACCTTCACCCAATAATCAGCCTGTAATAACTTAAGGCCTCCTGATCTGCTACAGACATAATTAATTCTTTTAAAAATTTTAGACGCACAATACTGCGTTAAGATGCATTAGCAGGTTTTAGCACAATAATTACAGGATATTTGTGGTGTATCACAGTTCTAATGTGAGTCCTTTGAAATACCACACTGATGCCTAAAGGCCGTTTTAATGGAGCATATAATAATGGTACAAATTCTACAACTCACTTTCATAAACCAGCCTAATTAAACCGCCCACTCAACTGGCAGAATTCCTTAGATCTGTACTTTGCCTGGGCATGCCAATTTAGTGGCCAATGCTAAACCCCCGATCTGGAGTCTCGGCTCATGTATCGTCATCGCTATTCGTCGCGTGTTGCTTCAAGACACGCAATTCAATCTTCACAGAATGCAGAGCGTAGCACACCCGCCAGAAACCCACTAAACACACAACTTAACCTTCTTTCCATTCGATTCTGGAATGGGCACACCTCCTGTGACAACACGTCTTCCTGACTTCGATTTATTGCCGTTACTTGCGACACCTCACCTAAGGTGCTAATTCAAGTCAAACGTGGTGGTTTCGTGGTCATTCACGTTATCACTGCTTTGTGTTTCTATCCTCTCCCAGGAATGTCGCAAACTTGGTCGAAAATTCACACCTTGAATGGTATAAATCATGTGGGAAGGAAATATCATTGAGATGCATTTATGATAGCCACGGTGTGCTGTGGGTGCGCAATGCCTTAACGAAGCAGGCAGGCTTTAATTCTTAGAGCATCGAACTGTTACATCCGTCCTCATCAAGCCATCAGAATAACAGCGAAAAATTCTGCCTTGCTTCCTCTTCCAGCCCCTCTGCTTTGTCACCTGGTGTGCATTTTTAAGCCTTATGTTTAGTAATTTTAGATACAAGAGTCTATTCAAAAACCACCCGCTCGATCATAGGGATAAGAATTTCGATCTGGTGGTTAAGCAGTTTCTACTTCACAAACTTAAAATCTCACTATATGCAACCGTTTTTCGGCGATCACCTTAGAGTTAGCAAAAGCAAACATAGGCTGCGACATTTATGCACCTTCAAGTGATAAAACCCATTGCATGTTTAGCAAAAAAATGTGGCAAGAATCACTTGGAAGTCTTTTTTAAAAAAGCTTTTGATTGCAAAGCCTAAGCCATAACACCTTGATTTTCAGGTTCTCCACAAGCTGTCCATTCTGCCTACTGAAATAAAATAAGGCTTTGAAAAACTAGCTACTGCGTTGCAAGTATTCTGCTGTATTTTGAAAACAAATTTATAGCCCTGGGTGATATTGCGTAAGGGCATAATTAGAAGTGGCCGTCAATGGCGCTACGTCAGTGTCCTAAAAATAATCAACTTTTTGGGATTTAATATGGAGCTGGGCTAGACAGTATGGCAGTACCTTGTGCATTTGCCTGGCCATCTAATTTACAAAATTAAAATTAATCTGATTACGAGGCGTCAAAAGCATCATGGGTAAAACAATGCGGGGCCATCTGTTTAATTTATGTTGCATTTTAGAAGCCTCGTCCTGACAAAATGCAGTTTATCGGTTAATTGTCAAATGTCTGTCATAAATGGGCCAACGGCTGTGCATTTTGCATTCGTCTCTTGCCCTGAAATTATACGTCAATGGATCTCAGACAGCCTAAATGAGTAGTGTGGGCTACAGTATATCACAAAACACAGCAATTACTCTTGATTGATTGGCTGTATCGATTTAGTTTTGGAAAACAGTGTGAACTGTTAATTGGTTCATTAAAGGATAGGTATATTTAATAAAAACGCTAACCATTACAATGTATTGTATTCGTTAATTCGAGATTCTGTCTGACGGTTATGGTTAAAAATTGGTTTTTGAGGATGCATACGTAAAACGACTCCACCTATACACCTATTTTCAGTGAATCCAGGTTTACACTTAATAAATTATCACAGCCTATGATAATGGGAACCAGACGGTGGGGGCTATCCTGACTCATGCAAGGATCATTACAGCTGAGTTGGATGGCAGTTCACGGAAAAAATTTAGAAATGCAAGTTGCTTGAGTGCTAGAGGATATACAAATTACTAATCTATGCAAACTTTTTTTTCGAAAAAGTTAAAGTTATTTCCCCTCTTGCTGTTGGGTTTCTTAGCGTTCGTCTTAATTTTGCATCATTTATAGCAGAAATATCAGGTTGCTTTTGCCCATCTTGGCATTCTAATTTTCAGTTCAATGTTGGCGGAGATTCTTCATAACAATCTGATTGCGTGACTCAAATTCATTTTTTACCCCTGTTTGCAAATACATGCATAAACTAACCACATGATGTCACTGGCCCAAGTCACTTATGTTAGTGGAGCATTAAAAAAGCTAGATTTTACTGGTTTCGGCTTCCATCTCCTACGAGAACTTGGGAAGGCGCGCATGCGTTAGTCAAGGTTATTTACACCTAGTTCTCTGATCTTTTTTAAGCATAACACTGGACGTCGCAGGTACAATGGAAGTACACTGACTTGATGGGGTCAGAAATTTTCTGGTGAGTTGCACTTTTGCCTTATCAGGAAGCCAAGGTAAACGTCGAGGAATTAAAGTCTCTAGAAATACAAAGAATGCTAAAAATGACCAGAGTTTGCTTAGGCTATCTGCACATTTAACTTACTACTGTGGACCAGAATGGTAGCTAAACACAAAAGGAACTATTTTGAGAGCTTTCACAAAAACGCGCTAGTCAGTTTCAGACACAACAATTCTGGTACAAACCACTTGTGCGAAAATACGTGATAACTAAACAAAGTTGCCACACATCAAGGACCGCTATTTTTAAGCTTAACCTTTCAAGTAATCCGAAGGCAAAAAGACAGCCCTACAAATAGTCAATTTACTTTCACACGTAAAACGTTCATCTTGTTATTAGGCGTTGCCTGTATTTTAAGAAAAGTGTAAAAGATGCATTTTAATTACCATCAGTGTGGTCTTCAGAAAAGCCCACTCGCAGATGAGTGCATAAAAAATCACAGTTTTTTTTCACTCGCTAGACAAAAGTGTCCGAATAATTCGAGTCGACAACGAAATTAAATTCGCCGCTCTAAACCAATTTCCTCCAGCACTTAACTGAAGCTGATTTTAATTGGCTGCCTTTGCGCTCAGCCAATCAGAGGCCCGACTTGCGGTTACGCCAAAATAATCAAAACTTTTGAGACCGAGGTCAATTTGAGTAGCACGTCGTCGGTCATCATTCTAATATCTACATTTGGGATTTCACTCAGCCATAATACAGACACGTACACGAAGACGCAGGCCGTAGGCATCCTGTTGTTGATTGGTCTGAAAAAATGACGTCAACCACTTCTAACGTGCTGGTACCAGCGCCAAACCTCGGCACAGTCGAGCCACCATTGGCCATCATCTACAATCTCCGTTCGGGCAACATCAACGTCAACCCCCTTCCGGAGAACACCGCTCTGACACCCCAGGATCTTTCGGAGTATCGACTAACCGTTCCAGTGACCACGGTGCACCGAAAGTCGCTAACAACGCCAGAAGACGACATGTGGAGAGTTATGTCTGCAAAAAACGCCCACAACCACAAGGGTGAGGGCGACGTGGGAAGCGCAAGTGGTGGTCAGACAGTTAATTTTCGCAGACAAGGCTTTGGAACAGAGGCCTGGAGAATACAAAATCCTACACACATCGAGGAACTGATGGAGATGGAGAAGAAATTAGAGAACGAAGCGGCCTGTTTGCCCTCACCCAGGGCTCGCTACTCCCCTCCAAGGATCGTTAAGCCCAAGAAAAGTGTGCAAAGTGCTAAGAAGAAGGCGTTTGCTCCGAAAGCCTTTACCCTTGGAGGTAGAAGAATCGAACCAGTGCATTCAGATGAAGAGTGGTTTTTGGAAAGACTTCTAAGGATTTTTGCTCTTATTGCCTTCGTCTTGACCCTGCCTTTCTCTCTCCTCTTTTGCTTTAAGGTAATTTCTCTGCCTATGTTATTTTAACCCTCATTCCTAACTGACTCCGAATTTATGTGTTGCATGCAGCGTTCTACCATAATTATCTGCAACACGTGATTTCGTCTGAAACGTCGTAAAATTAATTTCAGTCATTGGCATGGAATCCTTTTTTAAACTCACATGAAATACAAGTCGTAAAGTTCCTATATCGCAGTATAAAAACCAATTGTTATCCTGTCATTAACAACGAGGTACCAAGATAAAATTATGCTCTAAATATAACAGCAAATAGACAAAGCCCTGTTATTGAGGGGTGGTCGAGTTACACATTTGGGCCCCACAAGCCAATGACAATATATGTTTCCTATTTAAGCAATCAATTCACTCGCCAATTTGTGTTAAAACCAGGTAAAATGCCAAACATACTTTTCTAGAACCGTCTAATGGTAACGGGCTCTGTTCAAGGTCGCTTTTTATTGTAGCTAATTAAGTAGTGATTGTAGCCGCATGAATGTACACTCGTCTGACTAAAAACCAGTGCAAAGTACTTTCAAAGCCTGGAAATTCGTACCTC